GAATTGTGCGAAAACTATTGCACCTACAGCGCCCACGTTTGGCACACTTTTAAAGTATGACAAAACCCTCAACTTGTCATAGGTTTTATAAAATTTTAGCAATAAATGCGATAGTTATAAGCAAATTTAAAAATGGGCACTTTTCTTGTTTTTTTTTTGCAATAACTTTCTTGTTTATTAACCGATTTTAATATAACAAGTCTCATTTTGTAGATAATTTTATTCCCTACAAGCTGTCTGGGAGTCACTTTTCCTAAAAGTGCTTTCCAGCTAAAATTGATGATTTTCCCTGCAAAGTGAAAAAGCCGTTTTCCTCACTTATTTGTTTAAATAGAAAAGTTAGCTAATAAAAGTTTTTGACTTACGAGATGAGAGATGTCTTGTATTATGTTCCTTTAGACTTTTTAGGAATTTTTTCGAGTTTCTCTTTTTTTTCGCTAATTTTCCTGGTCTAAAACGACCTTTTAAAAATATCTTAAAACATTATTATTTTATATTTATTTTTTTAATAAAATTATTTTTTCTTTACATTTTTTTTTATACGACAACACATTATTTATTAACAAAAATGTATGTATTAAAGTTAATAATATGCTTACCTCACACACTGATTCAACATGGAGAAGAGAGAACTCAATGCCCGCAACCTGGTGAAATCCATGATATGTTCCTGTTCCATGGCATATTCCAAACACTTAACGACGAGTCCGTCAGGTGCCAAATAGGGCTGCAGCAAGTTAACCACATCGATCTGAACTTGAAGAGTGGGTGACAACATATCATCTTTGCTTTCTGATTTCTTTCCAAAGCTCTCATCTTCACCTTCTTCGAGAGGGATGTTCTTCAACCTCAATATGTAATTCTCAAAGATCATTTCAGTAGACAAGACGTCTTCCGAGAACCACACCATGCCGCAACGAGATACTGTGGCTAAAGTAGCGTATTTCAAATCTTGTACCTGAAACAGAATCATTTAGAAATTGATGTATTTTTATTTTGTTGATAATTTACCTCGAACATAACTCGGACATTAGGTGGAAGGGAAAGACGTTCTCCGTTAGGCAGGGTCAACAATTTATTATCGTCAAGAACCGAATTCAAATTTTCTACCCACTCAGGGTCAACATCACCATCGAAGATAATCCACTGACGTTTATTAATTTCACCTCTCACGTTGTCAATGATTTTCCTAAAATTTAAACAAATATTACCTAAATTTTAAAATATAAGTGTACTAGTACCTCAAAATGTGGGTAAAAAGACCGTCGGTCCACTCTCTCGTATTGGGATCTAACACACCGTAGAGGGCTTCTTTGCTAATGGCTTTTGGATCGATGACATGAGCAACACCTTCAACTCCCTCGTATCTCTCTAACGCCTTAAGGAGGACCCTCCAAGCAGTGCTTTTACCAGAACCACTGGGGCCTACCATCATCAAACCGTGGTTGAGATTTGAGATTTGGTATAATTGCAGTACCTACATCATTAAAATGAAAAATTACACACTTAAATTTGTAATTAAAACTGTTTTATCATAATGAAACCCTGTACCTTTGCAACCCAGGTATCCCGCTGAGCAGCATGAAAGAGTAAATTACAAAAGAATTATAACAAATGATTTATAAATTAAGTGCTAAATCTCACCTTTTCCATCCAAGCTGCTCCTTGTTCATCACCCTCGCCACATACCAGATATTCTTCGGCACATACTTTCCTAATTTCATCCTTGAGACCTGCAATGTTACTTTTTAATTAGTAATGTAAATGAATAAAAAATTAGTATAATCAAGAAAATTTAATAAAAAGATATATCTGACGTATTAGAAAATGTTTACTTAAAATGGTACCTTTCATTTCTGCCCTTGTATATTGCACATTAGGGAACACATCATTCAACAGACTAAAGAGCAGCGGAATGTCCTCTGCCACAAGTTTAGGAACCATTGTTTCGCACACGGATTGTATCAATATCTCTTGTTCTGGTAGATTCTCAGCAATACTCGCCTCATCGATATTAGTCTCGCCACGTTGAGTCATGCCTTCTTTGATTCGCTGAATCCTATCCCTCTTCACGTTACCAGCAGAAATCAGCACAGATTTCAGCGCACGCAAACCGAAATCGTAATGGGACTGATTTGACAACTGCTCATCGCACAGCCTAAAAAAATATATGTATTATATATTACATTTTTTAATTTGTTTTATATTGTTACTTGAAGAATGGGACAATTTTGCAAGCTAGTTTCTCAGCTTGGCGGAAACCTTGTGAGAACAGCATGACCTCTGCAATGAGTTGTCTGTCGGGCGTTGTCATAGCCAAGGATCTAAAAAGTTTCTTCAAGTTGTCGGGTAAGTTGGACCTTCCGGCATATCCAGGATTCATGGTGATGAATATGGCCATATCTGGTGAGACTTTCACTTGTTTTCCCACCAATTCGACACTAATACCTAAAAATAATTTCGATGCAGGTAAAATCGAAATGATTTTCAAATAAAAGGCAAAAGCTGTAGGCCCTGCTAGTTATACAGTGTTAATGAATAGGTCTTACAAACTTTAACAGTAGATAGAACTTACCAAAATAGTAAAACAAATTGCTAAGAAAGTTATTTTCTTTTATAATTATTATTCTTTATAATACTAATCTAAAATTAATAAAAAAATAGTCGAGATAATTTGATTTTTAAACTGTACTTAACCGCAATTGGGAAGTTATATGTATGCACCAGAGATATGGAGTAGGGGAGAATGAGCTTCGACAAGTGCGCATCCACATTTCTAGGGACGCTACGGGCGCAACCATTTTGAAGGCTTTTACGTCATGCAGTTGTTGTTGACGTTAGGTTCGCAGGTGTTTTTTGAGGTTATTCATATTTTTGTGTCAATTTCGTTTTTATTGAACTTTAAACATGTCTTGTGCTTTGTGCTGTGAAAGGAAGTGCAAATTGCAGAAGATTTCCAATACAAAACATCAGTTTTCATGTGTAAGTACAGAACATTTCTAAATACTTATGTAACTGTACACAAAAATAAGATATTTCCACTTTTTATTCTAAATTTTTATTGTAAACATATAATTTTTTTATTTCTAGCTTTCCTAGAAATGAAACTTTACAGGAGTGGCTGAAGGTTCTTTCTATCGAAAAACAAAACTGGGTATGGACAAAAAATAACGTAATTTACTCTGAACACTTTAAAGCAGATGATTTTGCCCCCTTTTGTGGAAAAACAGTACGACCCACCTCTGTACCTTCCATAAAATTATTTTGAGCGAGAGTACTTTATCGTGTTCAATTAATGCAGGAGCTTTGACCAGTAAATCGATGTTACAATCAAGTGGATCATCTTTGACCTATAATGTTACTGAAGTTCGAGAAGGTTCAACGTAAAAAGAAGAGACCACTGGATTTAAGGTAATAAAGATATGTAATTTAAAAATAGTAGTAATGCTAAGAATGTTAAATACGTACCCTGCCAAATTGTTTGATACGCACCTAATAAATTAAGAAATATTTTTACAGTAATTTTATTTTCAGTGTTCAGAATACATCGAATGGTAACACTAGTACTGATAGTAGTGCTAAGAGAAGGAGAATTATGGCAATGAAAACATACATTCGTATAGGTAAGATTATTGACAAAAAATTTGGTTACAGTTTAATGGATAACTTTAATAATGAAAATATCTTTGCAGTACATTCCTACTACAGTTGCAACGAAAAATGTTATATTGAAACGTACACAAGAAACTTACTGAAGAAAGTTTTACAGTGCTAAAAAAACAATCGAGTCTTTAAGAAAAGAAATTAAGGACGGATTATTATGGATTATTTAAGGCCCTGCATTAAGACAAAAATTAAATTAATTATTTTCAACCATTAGTAAATAAATATGTTAGTTATAGTGTTTTATTTTAATATACAAAATATTTAGAAACTACATCGCAAATGTTTTTTTATTTCATATAAATTGAGTACCTACCGCAATCTGTTAAAGTTTATCGTCTCAAAAATATATTATTATTGGTGTGATTAATATTCTCTGTTGAACCTTCTATGAAACAAACAACATAATTAAAGTATCATTCAATTAATTCAATGTAAAAGATAAGCACAATGTCGGTGTGTGCAGATTTATACATATATGATAGGTAATAATATCCTATGTAGTAATGATACAACTCTAGCCGTTGTTCTTGGGTAATATAGTATTTAATATATTTTTATGAAGTGCATAATATGTGAAAATTTAAATTTTTATTATATAATAAATATTCAGACATACCTAGAAAATTATGAAAAATAATTAATATGTAATTGAAAATTTCAAAAGTACGTATTTGATAGTTCATATTTCATTTCAAATTTAATGTAAAGTTATGTGCGTTTCTAATTAGAAATTTTAAAACTGACCTGGTAATGTAATACAGTCTCCCCTCATATCTAAAGCCTTCAAAATGGCGACTTCCTTTATTAGCAAGTTTGCGCATCTTGATCTCTGGTATGCACGTATCAATGTTGCCCATTATTTTTTTTATACCAAAAGCATGCAGAAAGCAAAACAGGAATGGAAAATAATTTTGAAAAAACAGATAGCTTTTGTATGACTTTTTTTTGTAACATGTTATTTTAGTCGCTTTTTTATTGTAATGACCACAGTGTATGTGGATAGATAGTATTATTATTGTAAGCAGAACTAATTTATGTGTAAACATTATTTTTGCGGTTTTAAATAATACACATAATAAAAATAACAAAAATATTTTGTGCTCTAAACATTTAAAATATTTTTTAAAATCAATTTAAGTTTTTAATAGCGTTAATGACCTCTGATCTCTGATATTGACCTAGTTTAGGACAAGTATATAATATCAATTCACCTGACGAGAAATGACAACAGGGCACTAGGCGGTTGAAAAAAACAACAAATAACCAATGTTAATTCAATTTACAGGGTGTTTGTTATATGGTATGCCATTTTGTAACTTTCTGCATGAATTAATTGTTTTTACGGGAAGTGAAAGTGAGTTTTTACTTATTAGTGAACTGTCTTGTACTGTGTAAGCAACTTTATAAGTTATTTATTTGTGTTTGTGTGTCTTTGTTGTTAAGTTCCTGTACAATATTATAAAAAAGCACATGAATCAAGAAAAATTAGATTTGACAGTGACGCATGCAATAACTCCCAATGTGCACCGATGGAATATGACAACTACAAAAAAATGGTAAAAAAAAAACTATTTTCATGACAGGAACTGTGAGAATAAAATTATGACACTTTCCCAAATGTCAAAGTTTAGAAGAATCGAACATTTTCGAAAAAATTGAGTGGGCAGTCTGTGCAAAAAATTTGATTTATGTGAAGTTGCACATATCTTTCTCTGTCTGCCTCACCTTGGGTTTGGAAAAAAATAAAAATTATTTACCACTCCCGATTCTTAATCACAATATGCTGTAGTATACCTGCCATTAATTGACATATTAGTAAAGTAATTCACCAAGTTTTTCCTTCATCACAGATATTTGATAAATGTGATTTTTTTTATTTCAACACCCTGTACTTTGAGAACCAGTGCATTTAGACACTTAGTTTAATAAGACTTTTTGTTCTAAGATTATCCAAAGAGCGACCTCTTGAAGATATGACCAGACATAAAAAACATCCTGCATATTTTTTTACCATTTTAGAAGTTCTACCTAGTACAGGAGTAATGTTTGTAAATAAAAAATATCTATACATACTTCCAACAGAGACACCATCAGCACTGGCTTCCCTTTGAGATTTCAGAGCCTCTTGAATGGTCTGCACTTGCTGGGAAACAGCAGACAACATTCTCTCCTCCAATCTATTAAATTCATCGAAACAACCCCAAGCACCCACTTGGCAAAGACCCACGAAGATCCTTCCCATGGCTTGGAAGTCAAATGTCTCATCACAATTGAATACCAACACAAAACGACCTAGTTGATTACCGAGTGCCTTAACTGACTCAGTTTTACCAGTTCCAGCAGGACCTAAAAAGAATAATTTGTACAGTCACATATTTTTTTTTTTGCTTGGAAACGAACTAACAAGCATGAAATGGTTTTCTGAAAAAATTGATCGTCTACTAGAATTGTTACTTACCAAAGGGTGATCCGCCCAACCTTGCCTCGAGAGCTTGGGTCATAGTTAGGTAGCATCTATCAGTTAGTGGTGTTTGAACGAGTCTATCTTGCACGCCGAGATATTCAAAGCCGTAGTAGAACCTGGCATTGGCCATATGAATGGTAAGTTGCTTCAAAACTTCCGTCTGTCTCGGATCGAAATAGAATCTCATCTCGCACAGCCATTCGAAAGCTTTATTGCTACAGACACCGTTGGCGATAAGCCTGCGAGTAACAGTTCTCTTGTGAACAAATTCATTAATCAAGTGTTCCAACTTCTTCCTACGTAGCTGAGGCTGTTCTTGGAGTACAGAATCTGCTAAAACATTCAAAGTATTCTCGACTTGTTGCAAGACCTTCTCTAGAGGTTCCTTCTGAGGTTCGCTGTTCATTTTAACTAGAGCCGCTTCCACATCTTCACTCCAGAAGATCTGCGCAGCGAGCACAACGATTTGTGCTTGGTACTTATCTACCCATGACATGTATAATTTTGAATCTATGCCATCTTTGAACTGTTTGATGTCCTGCACGGCTTGAGTCAGGTTTGAAGCCAACGTAACACGCATCTCTTTTTCTACTAGAGTGAGCCACTCATTGATCTTGGGGTGTTCGATGGTCGAAACTGGATTGCCAAAAACAACTTCTTCTCCTTCTCGGGACGCAATGCCAGTAATGATGTTGTTATCTTCATTCAGCAGGATAGAAGCAACTCCGGCAAACATTTTCTTGAAGTGCTTTTGCAATCTGGCTATATTCTTGCTGTTACCAATGATTTCCAACAAATCCTCATCTCCAACAAAGTAAAATCTGGGGAAAGAAGTACGTTCCCTTTCCAGATACTCTCCAAGAGCTTTCTGAATTTTTCCAAGTAAGTCAGCCAGTCTTTCCAATGCTCTTTGAACACCCGGTATATTCAGAACATCCATGACCATCGGACTCTTACTGACTTTCTTCATTAGACCCAGGAATTCCGAACTGATGCTTTGGAAACGAGAAGTCTCGACTGGTAGAAGAGTTTTAATGTCAGCACTTCCAGAAAATATACCTTCCAGATATACCCATCTTCTCTGCACGTCAATCCATACATCAAACAAAGCATTGATGCGGTTCAATTTCTCCTCCCATGTAAGGGCCTCTTCCTCGAATACTTTGTAATAAGGTGACAGTTTCATGGCGGCAACGGAATTAATGTGCTCTTTAACCTTGTTGAACAAATCATCCCAGCCTCGGATAAGTTTACATTTATTTTGGTAGTTGATCAGATCCAACTCGTATGTTTGCCAAGATTCACGAACTTGTTTCAAGAATTCTTCTAAAGCCATCTCTCCCTGAGCTATGAGAATGATGTCTTTAACAATCGATTCGTTCTTCTGTAGGTTTACGTCCCATACTTGTCCGAGGGTTAAATCAGAGAGAACCCAGTTTACTCTCAACTGTTTCATCAGTTGCTTCCAGTGGCGCTCCTTCAGAGCGTCCGATTTCAATTCTACAATCATCATGTTGACTTTAGTGTAAGTCTGGAGAGTTTTCTTCACATATTCGTAAGAAGCATATTGCCTCAATCGAGCAGGGAGTTCTTTCAATTGAGCAGACATCGCGTCCAGCTGTTGACGGAGTTTTCTAGGTTGTACAGACAACCAAGGCTTTTCTCTAGTTTCATCGATCTGTTGCCAAATTCTGGACAGTTCAGACCAGACGCCACGCAAATCTTGCAACTCTTCATAGACGACTTGCATGCGATCTTCACTTGTGCTTACACCGCCTGGTTCTTGCAATTCAAGAGCTTCTTTGGCCTTAGCAACATTGTCCCTCTCTTCTTTCAGTCGAGCAAACTTACTCTCAAACAATTGCAATTGTGACAAGGCCTCGTCGGGTCTCAGATGACCTTCGACAGGTTTGCTTCTTTCCCAATCGCCCAGGAAATCATTGGTGCGACTTTCCACGGCTTTATCCTCAGAGACGATTTTCTGTTGGAGGCTCGCAACTTGCGTTTGAATGCTTGAATCCTTACGTTTGATGATCTCATTAAACGCCCCCCATTCCCCTTCAAGATTTTCAACGTGCAACCACGAGGTAGGGAACTGGAACCGCTGACGCTCCAAAATTCTCTGCCCCTCTTTGTATATATCGACCTGTTTCTCCCAAGCCTTCATGTTACGCTTCAGCTGTTGAACGTAGGTGATAAAGCTGACTGCATCGGACGTACTAGCCGCTTCTATGCTTTGAAGTTCCAGATCTGATCGAGATTTGGAAACATTCGCGTGGAAGGTGGTCATTTCGTTGCTGAGCAAACTTCCAAATTTGCCTAGGGTTTCCTTGTGCCAAGAATCATATTTCAGGGAAACCTTACTCTGGACTTTAGCAAAGTCTATTACGATGGGTCCGAATTCTCGGCGAGTATCTGATGTATCAAAGGTAGTTCTGGTCTTCCTATAAAGAAATGTACAAATTGTATCTTTTCAAAATTAAGGATCTATAAAAATACTTATATTACTGTTTGTTCTATCACAATCGAAATGAAAAAAGTGCTTCGAAAATTGGTTCAAACACATCAAAAGTGTATTGATCTTCATGGAGAATATTTTGAAAAACTAGTCATATACGACGATTAATTTCTTTTTTTATTCTCAATTTCAGAAATACATAAGGCAATCCTCTATTATGGATTTTTTATTTTATCAGCAAAACCATGATTTTTATCAATCTCGCTTCATACTAGAGATCGACCGATATACGATTTTTGGCTGATACTGATAAACGGTCGATACCGATATATCAAAAGCCGATATACCGATATATTGGCCATTCGACTATTTCCGTTGCGAGTCAGGTGGTTTGCATTGAAAACCCACGATACTCATCATCACATAACATTTCCTCGTGCAATTGGATAAAGTCAGAACGTTTATTTGTGATTTGCGTTAGTTTAGCATTTAGTGTTTTATATTTATCTCTGCAGATTAACCAGTAAAATAAAATTATAATAAAATGCCCAAATCAAGCCCATTATCGAAATTTTTAGAAAAAATATGTCACAACAAGGAGAAAACTGAAAATCCAATTTGTATTGGTCGCAAAAAATCTGTTTCTTATATGACAACTTGCCACAAATTAAATTATAAATATTTTTTAAATAATGTTTACGTTTTGATGATGTTTCACATTTTTTATTATATTTTGTCTCTTTTTCTCATGCGTCTAAGTATAGTTTTAATTTATTAATCATTTCTAATTAAATTACATATACTTACATATAATTATTTATTCCTGTCTTCTTTATTTTTTATATTAAAACATAATTATTTAAATTTTTTCTGCTAAAACCAATAAGTACTGTTTTAATTGTCAGTGTTGCGAGAAACAACTAATCCGAGGGTTATATGCCCCTACCGGCATTGAATTATACTCACAACATCTAGGATCCTTCGTCAGTTTAACCCACCAGGCTGGCTAGACTGGCCTATGACACACTGATGAGGACTAATAAGTCCGAAACTGGTCTATGCCTGGTGGGTTAAACTGACGAACGATCCTAGGTGTTGCGAGTATAATTCAATACCGGTAGGGGCATATAGCCCTCGGAGTAGTTGTTTCTCGCAACACTTACAATTAAAACATTGTCTTCGTCCTCTGTGGGTGGCAGTCGTGCAACAAGTACCTGCAATATAGCAGGTCGCTTCCTACTGTAGCCATTTGAATGGCACAGTTGGAAGTCAGCACGACAGATGGAGCCATTTGTGCTCCCGCGTACAATAAGTATTAATTACTGTTACATTTCATTTATTTTAGGTAAAGAACTTTTGTACTTTTGTACAAATAAATTATGTATTTTTCAAGTATTTTTACTCGATTTTTAAAAATATTTTTGTATTAGAAATTGATATATCGGTCTATATCGGCCGATACCAGTAATCGGCCAAAGAGGCCGATAATGCCGATATATGTATCGGTATCGGTCGATCCCTACTTCATAGGCTACAAAAATACTTACTTGATATCATTTAAGCACTCCATCCACTTGCTAATGTCATCTCCCAAATTTCCATACAAATTATCAGCCTGTAGGTCCCATAAGGATTGGTAAGTTAACCACTCACCGACATAATTTTGTACCTAAGCAAAAAGGTATACCGTATATACAACATACCTCCAATAAAAAAAACTTACCTCTTTTATCTTGGAGGCAATTGCACTATAAGCATTATTCAACGGTACAGAACCACCGGGCAACTTTGTCAAAATATTCCTATAAGTTTCTGTGACTGGTTTGTCGACCCCTACTTGATACCTGCTGCTCTGCAATCGTTGCTGCGACGTAACGATCGCCTGCCAGGCGAACAGTTGTTGCATAATTTGGAAACGGGCCTCTTCTATACTCGGATACAAGTACATCGTTTGGTTGGTAATACGGACTTCGTGTACTGCTATTTGAATCTGGGGATCCCCGCCAGGTTTATGCGTAGGCTGAGCAGGAGCATCCGTATCCATGCTGTGATCTATTTCCTTCTTCTGCCCGCTCAAGGCGTCGGTCCATGCTTCGATACCTGCTTGCAAGCGACGAGCTAAATTTTTTTCGACCTACAACCACACTTTACATAAAGACCCGCATTTAAATATTCCGAAATGTGTATACCTCTTCGTCTAATCTGCTGACCCAAATGTGTAAATTGGAATACTGCTTCAAAGATAAATCGTCAACTGCGTGTTGAATTTTAGATAAAATATCGGCGAAAGTATTGGCAGAGTAAGGGCACGTCTCCAAAGATCTTACGTCGACTTCAAGTTGTTCCCCAACAATTACGAGTTCTTCTACACGTTCTTGGAAGCTGACCACTGTATCGGAGAGACGCTGAACGTAAGGATCTAACTTATAACTTTCCCAAACTAATTGGATGCCTTCGGCTATCAGTTGTTGTACTTCCTTCCTCATTCCAGCCACAAGTGGAATTATGCTGGCTTTGTCTTCGATCTAGGAAAAACAGTCAATTAATATTTAAACTACCACAAGTGTTCGTAAACATATCATGCAATTTAGCATGTTGTAAAAATAGTCTTTTCAGAAAGCGGGCTGTCGCAACAATGAATACTGTTTGAGGTACTTGAAGAAATACAACTATTCTTCAGTTAGTTTTTTTCCCCTCAATTTGTGTATTCATTTAAAAATACAGTGAAACTCCATTTAATATCGATGTTTTGTTGCGTTATGCTGCATTTTCGTTTCGTCTTATTTTGATTTGTTCAGGCAAGAATATGTTAAGGTACACCGATGCACTCGAGATGTCATTCTCTATTTCTTGTTTTTCCTAATGTTTAATAAATTAAAACAAAACATGTTATTATGTGCCTATTTGTGTCCAATTGACAAATATTTTAATTCGGTTTGGATTAAACAGGTTCCACTGTATATGTAACAAAAAAACATAATTGCTATTAGCTGCAATAAAAGCATAATAGACACACTTTTCTACATATAATACACATTGACATTATTAATAATTAATATTTCTTGATATAACTGATCCTATCAAATTTTACATGAATCATACCTGAAATAATATTTTTTTTTATAGTTGTATGGGGTTGTCCATCATTCGTCATGTCCACCCCCCATTATTCTTCAAAATAAACCATGTAAGAAATTATAAGTTTTTTTTTTAAAATTAATGTAATGTTTTTTGACAAGTAACACATAAAAATAGGCACTAGAGTAAGATCTTATTCTTTCTTAGGATCGTTGTGTCTCCTCGTGAATTGAATTAATAAATATAAATAAAACAAAATTATTATATTATACAGTGTGTCTACTTAAGTTGAAACCAGATGGAAAACTTTTTTATTATTGGTTTTATGAAAAAAAGTTATTCTTCATAAAAAGTTCTGCATGGTCTAAAATCTAAAATGCAACCTTCAGTTATCAAAATTTCCCAGTCATATACGAGGTATATCAGAAATTATGAATTTTGCTCAAGAGTAAAGTACCCTTATTTTGACAATACAGAAGACTGTTATAAAGAAAAGTTATTTTGAATTAAGTTATTTTCAAAAATGCATTTAGCATGAAGATTCAGGTTTTGTGATTATTTACGTTTTACATTATAAATTATTTGTATTATTATTATTATAATTAAATTGCAAGGTTGTTCAAAAACATTAACAAATGGAAAGGTTATCATATTCTTAACAAATAAGAGATAAATACAAATAACTTATAATGTAAAACGTAAATATTCACAAAACCTGAATCTTCATGCTAAATGGCTGTAATTGCATATTTGAAAATAACTTTTCTTTATAACATTCTTCTGTATTGTCAAAAATAAAGGTACTTTACTCTTGAGCAAAATTCATAATTTCTGATATACCTCGTATATGACTGGGAAATTTTGATAACTGAAGGTTGCATTTTAGATTTTAGACCATGCAGAACTTTTTATAAAGAATAACTTTTTTTCATAAAACCAATAATAAAGTTTTCCATATAGTTCCAACTTAAGTAGACACACTGTATAAACCAATTAGAAAAAAAGCTATTTTGAAACGACAGTGTCAAAACCAATATTTGCAAACTTTACTATTTTTTTTAAATATAATTCTTGACCAGTTTGATTCTTACATTGTATTTTTCTATGTCGAAACATAGAGAAAATAAATGGTGACTCTTGTGGTGCACCGCCCTCTACATAAAAAATGTTTTATAAAATTTATTTTTAATTTTTATGATTAATAATCGCTCACTATCTCGGTAAAAAACCTTGTTGAATTTTGATAATCACCGTACATGTAAATTTTTATTTCTGTTTATGCAGCTTTAAAATATCTATTTATTATATACATAAGTTTTAATAACCATGAAGGCACTACATGAATAAAGTAGGAGGGCCCCTTAGGCCGGTTTTTGGCCTAATTTATTTTTGGCTGAAAAAATCTGAAAATTTTTTTTAGTACCTACTAGCTATACTGAATCGTTTCCATCCTAAACGGAACAACCCCCTCCCCCTCCTTTCCTCCTCCACCCCCTTAAATGCTGGGGAAACCATCGCTTATTAGAGAGCTTAGAGATGCGAAAGACATTCAATTCCTATGAATCTTACATATGAAGTTTTTTGGGTCCCTGATCACGAATCTGGTCTCAGAATCACGAAATTCAAAATGGCGGATCCAATATGGCGGACAAGAAAATTGAAATGTCTTCAAAATGCATGAATTTTTTTGTAATGAGGTTTTTTGGGTCTTGGATTACCAATCTGGACTCTAAATCACGAAATTCAAAATAGTGGATTCAATATCGCGAACAAAAAAATTAAAATGTCTAAAATGCATAAATTTTTGTGTAGTGGGGTTTTTTTGGACTCTGATTAAGAATCTGAAGGCAGAATTACGAAATTCAAAATGACGTATTCCATATGGCGGACAAAAAAATTAAAAAGATCTTCATAATCCTCAAATATTTTATTTATAGGAACTTTCTTGGATCACTGATTACAATTATGAATTCAGAATCACTAAATTCAAAGTGACTAATCAAATATGCACAAACATATGTTTAATTATTGATTTTTTCTTTTTCATTTTATTCAATATAAATGTGTCATCTCATTTAAGGGGGTGGAGGGGGAAAGGAGGGTGAAGGGTTGGTCCGTTTAGGGTGAAAACGATTCAGTATAGCTAGTAAGTACTAAAAAAAAATTTTTCAGATTTTTTTCAGCCAAAAACTGGACTAGGGGGCCTCCTTTGAAAAGGCTAAAAATTAAAATCAACACACATATAGTATTTTAAGACGAAATAAAAAATATACTTTATTGTAATTACGTTAGAAAGTAAAGAAAGAGATACACTATAAGATTGCAGCAGCAAAATGTACAACATAAGGGGATTTTTACAAAACAATGAACATGCACGAACTGTTCTGTCATGCGAAATTTATCCAAGGGAGTATCTAAAAATCTACCTTAACCCCACTTGGTGGACTAGTCCTGTTCGTTAGCTAGTAAAGGGCAGTATAAATAAAATTTAATGCTAATCTGTTCTATATGGTCTCTACCACTTAATATACATCTGCAATTTTGTGAAATATTATAATATTCTAAGAATTGTTCCCATATCACATCAAAATAGTATAATAAAAAAAATCATTCATCATTTGAAAATCGTAAAACTTATTTAGATGTCACAGATCATAGTAGAGACCTTTCAGTTTTCAGTTAACACATCTAATAAATTGCTAAATTTTATCTTCAGAATATAAAAACATTTACCTTCTCCAGTGTCATTTCATACGTTCTGACGCTCTCGATAAGCGAAATGGCGAATGGGTACAGCTGATTAGCTTGATGCGCCTTATTCACAATGGCCAGAGGTACACGGAAGCCAAGACATTTCAAGTTACGAACTTCTTTGGCCAACGTTATAATTTCCGGCAGGAAGTTAACCTTCAACTTCAACACGTTGCCCCTGCCAGTTCTCGATCTCACCGCTTCTATGGTAAAAATTCTCCCTGACACTCCCAAGTTACGCTGTTGCACATTGCGAGCCCAATCATCGAAAATTTCCTGGGTGTTCAACTTCAAACGAAAGCTATCGCCATCGGCTTTCAGTTTTTGACCTTCTATGTGGTTCTCCCATCCTTTACCTGAAACAAAATAAATATTTATTAATCAAGTATTCTAAACATACTAGAAAGGTACGAAAATATAGAAAACACTAATAACACCTTCAACTGTCTTTCGTTTTTTTTGCAATATTTTTCTTTTTAATGGATTTTTAGAAATGCAGGTATTTTTTGACATGCCGCTTTATTTGCTTTAAAAAAAGATATGTTCTATGTTGCTGAAATTGTTCCAGAGAAATATGGACTACAATTTTTTATAGCAGTCTCATCAGTTAATGAATATTTGGAAGAGAATTCTAAACTAATTAAACTTAATTTTTTTTTGCTAAATTCGCTTCTAGTCTAATCATAATCAACTAGATCACATCGGTTTTGTAATACTAGTACGTCGAATCAGCAAAATTTCATTTCAAGGATTCTGTAATTGTTAACTTCGTTGCCATGACAAATTTGTAATGTGGCGACTTCGACGTTACGTTCTGGAAGCATAAATCTCAAGCAGTAAATATCAGCCTACATCAGAATTTCTCGTTAGTTTGGAAATTTACAAAAATTATCAACATTTCAAAAGAATTTTGTGAAAATTATTTGTCAACCCATTAGTATTAACTGTCGGCTATTTTACTTTCACAATGAGGAACACAATACATTATTTTAAGGTTTTTAATTTATAAAAAATAATATGTAAACACAAACATACACCTTAGCAAATATTTGACATTTGTCATAATTTATAAAAAATGACAGTATAATGATTAGCTCATTATACTGACAGGGGTGCTGCGATTTAGCTGATGATGGTTTAATTAATTTTCAGTTTTTTGCTAAATACACAACCAAATAAAATATTTTTTTNATGGTTTGTTTTTATAGTGGATAACCCTATTGTGGTAAAAGACCGAATTTTTCTCTGATTTTAGTGGCATGTACTTTTTTTACAGTACATAAAATAAGACTTAAAATATCTTTATTTCCTCAAAATCTAACTACAAAAAATATGACAAAAAGGACTGTTTAAGGTATACTAAGTGCCCTCTCTATGTTTTAGGTAAAAAATTAGCTCATTCTTATTTGGCTACCCCAGAAACTTCTTCATATCAAACTTCATTGATTTATCTTTCAAGAGGGCTCTATAGCTAATAGGCAACCAGTAATACATCTTTATAGATTTTATTACACAGTTTGTCTAAATATGAATTAATGCACAAATAACAGACTTTCCCCCATTTTAACGCAGATTTTCTATAAAACAGACTTAGCTTGAAACTCAAATTACTCTTTAATGTAAAGAAATTTGTAATTTACGATGCCGTTTGTTCGAAAGCGGCAAACTATAGGTTTCTTTAAAACAAAAAGTAATTTGAGTTTCAAACTAACTCCATTTTATAGAAAATCTGTGTTAGAATAGAATTATTGTTATTTATGCATTGATTCATAATTAGACAAACTGTGTAATAAAATCTATAAAAATGTATTGCTGGTTGCCTATTTGCTATAAACCCCTCTTAAGGTGAATAAGGTATCTTAAAAAAAGTGAATCAAAAAATTTTATTGACGGCAGATAACTCCAAGGAAGCACAATGTTTTAAGATAACTTGATCTAAGTCGATTTATTTTCACCTATGAAAACTACACTGAAGTATGGCCCCTTCGCTCCGAACACCCTGTATAAGAATTAAATAATGTTGAGAATTGAAATCACTTACCAAGGACATCTTCAACTCTCCTCAAATAAGTAGTAAGTTGATGATCAATCTGTTTTGCCCAAACGATAGATCCCGCAACAGGAGGTAAATCACGTACTTTGCTTATCCTTGCACTGTTACTTTGAGGATACTGCACCTGTAATGAAAAAATCAATACAAACTCTTTTTTTAAAAGCTAGAAAAAACTTACTTTGAATTTTTCATGAAGAGCCTCGATGTCATCCTTCACTCGCTGTATCAAATGGGTCTGATATTCTCTTATAGCGCCCCTGATATGTGGCCTCACAAAGAGAGCGTTAAATCGAGAGAAAATGCGGAACATCTCATTCGCATTCTTAGCAGTTCCGAGTTGATCGCGAAGGTGGGCTGTAATTCGAGTCTCAACTCTATCGATTCGTTCTTCGTATCTTTGAACTGCCGCATCCCAAGCATCTTGACCTTCTTTGGAAATATCCAAGCAGTCCACTTCTTTGACATTTTCATAAGCTAAATTCACTTCCTAAAAATGGTTACAAATAAATAATATGAAAAGAAAAACAATAAAATATCAATATACCTCTATGGCATTTGCGTCGGCTGCATCAAGGGAAAAGGTAGGCTTCGGTGGTTCCAAGTCCTCTCCTTCAATAGGAGCTGCCGCTTCTCTAATAGTTGGTCTCAAAACACGAACTATGACAGTTCGAAGTTGTTCGTGTTGCCTGCGGAACTTTCGCATTTGCTCCATTCTACTTTGCAGTTTCTTGTGCTGTGCAGAAATACGCCAAACCATCTTCATGTGCTCATCACGTTTTTTCTTCATTATATCCCTTTAAAGAAAACAATTGAAAACATTAATTTATCACATTAGGAACCAATCAGATTTTGTTGTATTGCTGTTATCAATATCAAACACAGGGTGTAACTTTGATTGGGGGTCATATTTATATGGAGGCTCCCTTTGACCTTTAGAAACACACGCCATTTGAGAAAGCCCGTTGTTCACCTCTGTTTTGAGCACTTCCTCATTCTTAAAACGCATACCTGCTAAGTGTTGATTCGGTTTCGGAAAAAGATAATAATCGTTTGGTGCGAGATGAGACAAATAAGAAATGTGTCTAAAGACATCTCAATGAAAACTATCAAGAAGCTATTGGGTTTCCCTTGCACTGTGAGGGCCCACGTTGCCGTGGAAGAGGAAAATGTTTCTGAATGACCATGTCTCAGTTTTCATAGTTCACAGTAATGTTGAGCATTGATTGTGGTCTCTTACTTAAGATAATCTATTATAAGCGGAAGTGCTTGTGGCGGTGTTCACAAATGTTTAAGTACAATTTAAAAGATGAATTACAAGTCTACTACTTGTTTTATTTAAAAAAAAATGTATTTCGGGAAAATACTCTGTGACATAATATTATCCTTAAAAGACCGATTCTCATATAAGTTACAACCTCTATATAGGAGTAGTGAGGTTCATTTAGGACAATAGTCAAAACTTATTGAGAGACAAGTTAAAAAAGTATGGAGCTATAAGATAAACTCAAATTATTTGTTATAGTCCAACCAAATTACACTTGGAGAAAAAAAATTGTTACCTGGACTTTTATAAGTGGAAATGGTAAAAGGGCTTATAATAAACATAAAAAGAAATGCGTGAGCAGGGGTGGCGGAGGGTTAATTTGGGGGGTTGAAAAGTTGTGAAAAATTGTATCGTTGGGATTTCTGACAAAATTTGACGTCAAACAAAAAAGTATCCAATGCAAAAGTTGTAGATCGTGCAAAATATCTACAACTATCTACTTTTGTAGAGGTCACTTTTTACGATAACCTCAAAATTTCCGAGAAAAACGCGAAAAACAGTTTTTTTTCAGATTTTTTTGTTTTTTGTTTCTTATTTCCCCAAAATTTTGACGAAACTTTGTGAAAGTATACCTTTCTATGTCTTAAATAACCACAAAAATTTTTTAGATAAAAAAATCAAGAGTTTCCAAGATATTCATTTTAAATACGTCGTTGCTATTTTTATGACAAAATCTAATCATTTTTAATTCTGAATTAGATAATATTACTATTGTAATCGCTTAAAAAGTTTTCAGCTATCATTTAAAATTTCTCCTAAGTATGGTTCTGAACGCTTTCAAAATATCTGTTGGAGGAAGTTATAACAGTATAAAAGTCAATACAGCACATAATATCCAACAATTTTTTTTAGTCAATAATTTAAAAAGTTGTACCTAATAAAAAAATGATACAAATTTATGAAATGTTTTATTATTTCTAATTAGTATTGCTAATAGCAGTAAAAAAATGTGTTGGATATTTTTTGCGGTATTGATTTTTATACTGTTATGAAAGTGGACAGAGCCGTACTCAGGAGAAATTTTAAATGATAGCTAAAAACCTTTTTAAGCGATTACAATAGTAATATCATCTAATTCAGAATTAAAAATGACTAGATTTGGTCATAAAAATAGCAGCGACATATTGAAAAAAATTAATCTGATGATAGCCCCTCGAAGATGAAATGTTGGATTCCAAAAATGTTGACGCCATTGTATAGAACGAAAAAAAGTGGCATTGTAAATATGCAATTTATTTTAAAATTCGTTTTCAAATAAAGCCAGAAAAAAATTAAACAATTTTGCAAAATTTCGGGTTTTTTCGGATATCTCCGGAACCTCCCGGAATTTTAAAACTTTCTAAACGGCATATTGTTAGGTATAAAAAAAACACAACTTTTTTCTACTATGAGCCACCCCGTATCTCTTACCATTTCCTAGATCCTAATGCTATTCCATCCCTATCTTGGACACACTGTATATTTATGAATTCATCAAAATTAAAGAAAAAATAAGTACACTAATCGATGCTATTGAAAAAAAAATGTATTATTTATTTTATTTATTCACTATTTGACTTATGTTTATATCCATACTGTACAAAAATAAAGTTTTGGGTCAAACAATGGGACAGTTTTTTTTGTATTTTTTCCGTACAATTGAACGCTGTAATCAGTTCTTGATTTTTTTTTAAATTTAAACAAATTATCAACAATTACTGAAAAATTCATTGTTGCAAATTATTTTTTTTTTTGCATTTTTGAGCATGTTTTTGAACTGTCATTACAGATTTTTTTATTTCACCAAAAAGTATATGTTAAAACGAAAAACATGATTATCGGCAGAACTCTGTAGGATGATTTTTCTAAGTAGAATATTTCCTTGAAAAAACAGTGTTTTAGACCGGAAAAAATGAATGTCGGAAACTTCCTCATTTTTTTATCTGAAAAAATTTGCGGTTATTTAAGACAGAAAGGTATACTTTCACAAAGTTTTGTCAAAATTAAATTATTTTTGTGGAAATGAGAAATAAAAAACGAAAAATAAGAAAAAAAAACTGTTTTTCGCATGTTTCCCGGAAATTTTGAGGGTAACTTAAAAAGTGACCTCTACAAAAGTTGTAGATTTTTGCATGATCTACAACTTTTGTATTGGATACTTTTTCATTCTATTATTAAAAAATGAGGAGTCAAATATGAAACATTACGGAATGCAGCAAAACTGTGAAGTACTTTTTCTACTATTCTAAGTTACATTGTTCTAAAAAAGTATTACCTTAGTAATGCTTGCAATTTTTCATACTCGTCTTCCCAAATAGCAAAGACATCGAAACACTGAGTCATAACTTTCTCAAACTCATCAAATGGAATGTGCATCAATCTCCTTGTACCCAGAACTTTTAACAATTGAGCACCCAAATCTCTTGAAATGGCTTCTACAAGTCGCAAACACCTCTGGATGGGATACTTGGTGGACCTCACTTTACGTAAATGAGCAAAAATTAGTTGCACAGCTGCTCTAATCCTCTCCAGTTCGGTAGCAGCCAGTAGATCATTGATGGGAAAATCTTTCATTAATGGATTGTAATCATTAACGGTGGCAATGGCCTGTTTCAATCCAGTATCGGTGTCGAACGATACAGTTGCATGGAAACGTTTACCGTGCTTCAGAATGTCTAGAGTTAAAGCAACTTCCATACTTTCACGCTTCTCTTGGATTCGATGCAAAGCTCTTTCAAGATTCAACCAAAAACTTATTTCTTGCAGGGCTGTACCTGATGAAGGGTCTCTATCTAATTTTGTCACCTAAATTGAAAAAACATATTTTTAGATACTTGCAATATATTAAATCAATTACAACCGACCTTCTGAATTTCTTTTATCCAACGATTTACACCATGTTGTAATTGATTAAGGAAATTGGAATCTTCAACTTTGTCGCTAAAATCTGCAACTTTCGGTTTTCTTCCTTCATCAGCACACTGTTTAATGAGACTGGCAACGTAAGGATGTACCTGTAAGGTTATTTCAGGAATATCTATATTTTGTTGTAAATGCAATAACCCCATTTCAAGTTCAGCAATAGTTTTTTCAACAGCAGGAGCCATCTTATCGCCATCACTGTAAATCAAAATAAAATAATTTCATATTATGTGTATTGTTCTTATTCTTAAATCTATAGATCCATCTCAATCAAGAGTCTATTAAAAATATATTCAATTGATTTCTACGAAAATAAGAAAATTGTAGACGCTACAGGGCCCACCTAAATATCAAACTTATGACATATTTATGACTACAAAATTAAATAGAATAGGTATCTACAAATCAGGGGACACAGTACCTATATAAATCGTAGTTTTAAACAAATTACAATAAGCAAATTTAATTGTAAATAAAAAAGTTTATTTATATCACTAAAAAAAATACATAAAAATTTTGAAGTTCTTCTGTACTTAAAAATGGAAAAGGACTGCAAAAGAAAATCTGATCAGTCAACTAATATTTTGCATTTAATTTTTTCCACGAAAATATAGTACAGGTAGACTAAAATCATTTGTGTCCCGAGGGTAAGCTGCGTAGTGGCAAAGTAATGGACTGGGCAACGGAGCTTTTACTATGGGCTACCTGCTGCCTACATTTCCATCACATTCTACATCAAGTGCATTCTCTTTTTAATTTTTACATTTCAAAGCTCAAGTGAAATTTGTTCAGTTGATGAAATTAAAATAGAAATTAAAATAAAAGTTTTCCATCTGGGTGAAATTTGTAACATAATAGTGTCAAAATCTTGAAATAGATCTAATTTTTCAAATCATGTTTTATTAACGAGATAGAAGGATAATTACCGATCTGCCCTTCCAGATTCTTTTACATACGATTTAAAAAATGGAGCCACTGTTCGGCTAACATAATCGTGTAAAATCTCATAAGGCGATCCATCGCTGAAATTCATCAATCGCACCTGTGCCCTAATACTTTTATCTGCTTCTACCACTGGCCCTCTTTTAATACAAACCAAACTCGACATTTTAGAGTTTGAATAGTGAACTTCATTACTGACATAGTATGTAACAGGCTCTTTTTCTTCTTCGCCTTCAGGGGGCTGATCATTGTCATCATCTAAAGAATTATCAGAAATTATGAGTGATAAAATACGTTTTTGTAAAATAAAAATTATAATAAAGTACAGTCGATCAATAACGAAGTACCGTTAACAATTATGACACGTCGCTAGGGTCGATGACTAACGCTGTTACCTTTAGAGGAATTTCGCTGGACGTATAATGTAGAAACTTGAGGATCGCTTATAAATTTCCGAATGCATTCCTGGTTTGCCTTATCATCTAAGGCACTTACTAAATTTGTTGGTTCCGCTTGGCTATCATCCTCAGGCAAAAGGACGGTAGCCGCCTTCAAAATAAAATTTGTAAAAGCCGTAAAATCCACGACTGCGACATTTTGAGGCTCGGGAGTATTTTCACTCCCTTCTAAAGAGTCCCCCATTTAATTGGGGTCAACTAAAATCTCACAACATACACGTATAAATAAAATAGTAAAATAGATATTTCACCACAATCTAATCTTTTACAGATCTCAAATCACAACGTCAAAGGATCGATGACGAATGAAAAATGAAATGGAATAAGGAAAGGATTCTAGGAAATGAGACAAAAAAGAGAAAATGAGACGCAAAAAGACTGCAAAGCGCATAATCTAATACCACAGCTTATATACTAGGGATGGGCTGAACATGACTGATCCTGCTCACTGAACCGAGACCGAGCTTAGAGCATTTACTATATAAAGGAAGCACTGAGTGTTAAAAAGTGTAGACTCTGTTGAGAGAAAGAGCGTTGGTTATGTACTTGCTCTCTTTCTCTCTCTAATCGTCAAGAAAGAAGTTGTGTTAGCCAATCCGTCTCTTCGCGAGAGAGAAAGAGATGACCTAAACTTATGTCTTTCAGAGTCATAACGCGTTACGATCCGAAATCTAGCAACCTGATTGGTTTCTATCGGATCGTAACACGTTATAATTACGTAATCATGAATAAAAGAAAAGGGCTCTTGTTGTAGAATTCTATATATAAACTTAGAGCATATACTACTGGAGGCAGCGTCCCAGTGGCCGAGAGTGTAGCAGGGGTTTAGAGAGAGAGATAGAGGTCAGGAGTGTAATTGCTATCTCTCCCTAGCAACATGCAATCGTGTGCTGCTCGAGAGAGATAGCAAATACGCCTCCTATACCCCTCTCTCTCTAAACCTCCGCTACACTCTCGGTCATTGAGACACACAGACACGACACCCTCCCAACCGGGCGCGGCGGCCCTGATTGACGCAACAAAGCGTCTTCAGGACTTCTGCGTCCAGCTGACGACCATGGTGTCGAATATGCAAAAATTATTCGACTTCTAATGGCTCGTCGGCCCTCCCAACCCTCCTCGCTGAGAATTTCGTCCTGGAACCTTGACGGGTTCCGGGCCAAAAAAACGGAACTCGTGGACATCTTGAACCGTCTAAACATAGACGTTATGGCTGTCCAGGAGACCTACCTCAGCGAGGCATCCCGTACCTCCATCCCTGACTATGACATATACAGACATGACAGAAACCGTAACGGGGGTGGTGNTGGTGTATAGGTGTGGGGACAGGACGGTGCCCTGGGGGACACCGGCCTCCATGGGACGGGTGGTGGAAAGGGAATCTTGGATTTGGATGCGGAATTTTCGGTGGTGTAGGTAGGATTTTATGAGTTTGGTAAAGGATATGGGATATTGGTTGGTGAGCATTTTCATCAGTAGGCCTTCATGCCAAACCGTATCGAAGGCCTTTGCGACGTCCAGGAAGACAGCACCAGTGTACTGTCCCCTGTTGAAGGCCGCCGTGATGTGCTCGGTAAGGCGAAGGATTTGGAGTTCAGTGGAGTGATTGGGTCGGAAGGCGAACTGCTCGTCTGGAATGACTTGCAGTTCTTGGGAGTGGGTTCTTAGACGGGTTAGGATAATTTTTTCTACCACTTTGCTCATAGCCGGGAGCAGGCTAATGGGCCGGTAGTTGGATGGGATGGTGTGATCTTTGTTGGGTTTTGGGATAAGGATTATGTTTGCTGTTTTCCAGCGGGTAGGGAAGTGTCTTAGTCTGAGTGTCGCGTTTGTTATGTTTAGTAGGGCCATGAGGCCCTTGTGTGGTAGTCGTTTAAGTGTCGTGTTATGTATATTGTCGGGTCCGGGGGCTTTTCTGTTTTTAAGTCTGCGTATTGTCAGTCTTAGTTCGTCAGGTGTTGCGGGGGGGATTATGTCATTGTCTGGCTCTCTGTCGACGCGTCGGGCCGCGCGCTCAGCCACTAACTCGAATTCCTCGTCTTCGTCGGGCAGCTGAGGCAGTCTACACTGCAGTTCCAGGCTATCGGCGAAAGCCTCGGCCTTTTCCTGGTTCGTGTAAACCACCCCCACACTACCGTGGATTGGAGGAATAACCCAGACCGAGCTTAGAGCATATACTATATAAAGGAAGTACTGAGTGTTAAAAAGTGTAGACTCTGTTGAGAGAAAGAGCGTTGGTTATGTACTTGCTCTCTTTCTCTTTCTAATCGTCAAGAAAGAAGTTGTGTTAGCCAATCCGTCTCTTCGCGAGAGAGAAAGAGATGACCTAAACTTATGTCTTTCAGAGTCATAACGCGTTACGATCCGGAATCTAGCAACCTGATTGGTTTCTATCGGATCGTAACACGTTATAATTACGTAATCATGAATAAAAGAAAAGGGCTCTTGTTGTAGAATTCTATTTATAAACTTAGAGCATATACTACTGGAGGCAGCGTCCCAGTGACCGAGAGTGTAGCAGGGGTTTAGAGAGAGAGATAGAGGTCAGGAGTGTACATGCTATCTCTCCCTAGCAACATGCAATCGTGTGCTGCTAGAGAGAGATAGCAAATACGCCTCCTATACCCCTCTCTCTCTAAACCTCCGCTACACTCTCGGCCATTGAGACGCTGTATATGTATATGCTCTAAGCTGTATTATCTGTTTTGCAATGTTTTGTGCTCTAGGTAGGTAGAAATATGTCAGACAACATTTATTTTGTCTCTGATATATTTCTCTGATCTATGGCTCCATGATTATTGGCTTTGGAAATAATAAGATAACGCGCTCAAGATATCGGCGAATGCAGCTAAGAGTTCGCCCTCTGGCGGTGACAAGTGATACTAGTGAAACAAGGTAAACATTTCTTGTGTGTGACATTTCGTTTTGTATTTTATTTAAAACTGTGTATTCGCGAATGCAGCTAAGAGCTCGCCCTCTGGCGGTAACAAGTGATACTAGCGAATAGTGATGGGCATAATCGACCAATTTTGATAATCGAGTTATCGGTAATCGAGTACTTCTAATAATCGAGTGATCACTCGAAATACGAGATATTGGTCGTTTTCATCCCAGCAAAAAAAAAAGCTCACGCACTTCAAAACCTAACCACTTTTTCGTTTTATTCTAAAAATTCTAAAAGGTTACGCAATCAGTGACTATTTGCAGTATGCACTAACATTTTGGGGTGCAACCGTAGGGTAATAATCACTCGAGTGGTGGGAGTAAACATCTCGAGATATCTCGAGTGATCTCAATAATCGAGTACCACTCGATTTTTCACTCGAAATCTCCCATCACTACTAGCGAAACAAGGTAAACATTTCTTGTGTGTGTGACATTTCGTTTTGTATTTCATTTAAAACTGTGTTTATTGTTCGTTTTTTGAACAGTTATTTTAAGAAAATAGTGTGAGGAAAATTTCAGCAATTATGGATAGAAAGAAGAAATTGTCGAACTATTATTGATCAGTTCATAGTTGTTCTTCATGGTCCAAGAAAAATCTAGAATTAAGTTTTCATCAAATTCAAGAAATTTTCAAAATATTATTGTCGATAGGCAATACTGCCCGAATTTCAAGAGCGTTGGGCACTAGTTTGCAAACACAATGAATAAATTTCTAAATTTAAATCACTGTCCAATTTTCCCACATAGTACCACATGACCAGCCTTAGAAACTGCCTCTCCTGATATACGAGAGTTTTCGTTGGCACTTAAATAGGAAATGTTGGTATTCCACAACCCACAACGGATAACTTCATAATTATATCCTCAAAAAATGTACATTAAATAATTAAATATTAAATTGTAATGCTAGAAACAAACAAAGTAGACATAAATACTTGCATTAAAATTTATTTATGAAATATTTGAAACCTATAAAATATCACAAAAATCAAATAATCGCAGTTTAATAACAAAATTACTAATAATAATGGGAAATAAAACGAATGTTATTCAAATGAATCTGTAAATACAAACGGCAATGTCAAATTACCTTGTCTCGGAGCTTACCGCTTTCATTATCGTGGATAAGAAATCAGTCGGGGCAAATATGAGTACATAATCTCAGATGCACTCATAGAAAATATAGTACTAACTATATTTTCTATGGATGCACTTCACCTTCACGGTGTATTCCCTTGAATAAACAATTATCAATTAACAGAGATAATGTCTGCAATTAATACATAAGAAGCTAGCTAAATACCCCCTGAGTGAAGGCCAAAAGAAAAGAAGAAGAAGAAATAATAAGGTTATGTTGTTTTGTCAACTTTGTACAATTGTAATCTTCTAAATACATGCATTTGAATATTAGAAAAAATTAAAAAATCAGATAAGCCAAGCTAAATTTATGCAAAAAACGTCCTTTTGTTAATAGGTAAATTGTAAAAGCGTGAATAAATTTTTGCTTCTATTTTCAAGTAGAAGATGGAAGATTTTACGTGTCCAAGATGCAGAACATCCAAATTTCAAAATCCTTCCTTAAAAATGATGGTAAATATTTGTGGTCACGGATTATGTGAGAGTTGCGTAGACTTACTTTTTTTAAAAGGCTCGGGAGCTTGCCCTGAGTGTAAAATTCCACTTAGACGAAATAACTTTCGTGTTCAACTATTTGAAGATGCAAGTGTTGAAAAGGAAGTAGATATACGAAAACGTGTTTTACGTGATTTTAACAAGAAGGAAGAAGATTTTAATTCATTGTTGGCATACAACAATTACTTGGAGGAAGTGGAAACTATAATTTATAACTTGGCAAATAATATAGATGTAGTAAACACTAACAAGAAAATAGAACAATACAAACGTGATAATAAAGAGCAAATCTTGAAAAGCAAAGGTAAATTAGGAAGAGATGAATATGAATTAGAAGAATTATTAGAACTTGAAAAACAAATAGAAGAAGTAAGGAAAAGAGAAATTCAGTTAGAGGAAGTGGAAACCAAAAAGAAAAAAATCCGTGAAAAAGAAGCTTTAATAGATGAATTAATGTTTTCAAATGCGGATGCTAAAAATATTGTAGATAATTTTGCTCAACAGGCTCAGCAAGAAAAAGAAGAAAAAGCTAAACAACCTGTAGTAAAGGTTACACAATTTTCCACTGGAATTCAATTCAGTAGACAAGCACAAAATTCATTTTTACCTGTACCTACAGAAGAAGGACCTCTGTACAGCTATAAAACCATAACTATTGTTACTGATGGTCCTCGCCCACCCACGGATTTTGAAATAATGGAGAAAGGCTTTATCAATTATGTTAGAGGTGAAACAGAACAGGAAAGGGCTGGTGGATTTAAATCAAATATAGCGTGTAAAAGAGCATTGCAAGATGCCCTATTAGGTCTCTTTCATACTAAGAAAACAACAAATACTTACTAAGTTTATTTGTTTATAATAAATTAATATTTATTTAACTGTTCTTTGATTTTATTATTTTCCCTGTATACAGGGTGAGTCAGTTTTTTGTAGTAGGATTTTAACAGTTGATATAGAATCATTTTTTAATAAGAAAAGTTCCTATAAATGTAGGTCTTAGAATGCTTCGTTTGTGAGATATAGGGTGTTGAAAACAAACTTTTTAAGAATTTTTCTTAATATCTCTAGAAGACCAACATATATTGAACCGAAATTTGGTATTAATAACACATTAGTTATGGTGAATAAAACAAAGATATCTATCCATTTCACACACCAGTAACGTGCCTGAATTGGGGTACTGCCCCCTTTAAAAAAATAATTCGTACGCCCGTGAATTTTTCTGGAAAATAACTTAATTCCTAAATTTTTTAATCAATTCTAAACAAAACAGATCTCTCAATTTTTTATAAAATGAACGGTTTTTTGTTAAATTCATTTGGCATGAAACTGTTCCAACGATATTGGTAATACATTTGTAATAAGAAAAATATTATGTACCCTGAAAAACGATTAAATGTCGTAATGTTAACATAAGAATGCAAACATTGCGTAACGTGTATGTTAATTAATTCTTTTTTTAAGTTCTGTTTGTTTTTTCATGCCAAATTTCAGTTTAATGTCTATTGGTCTTATATCCCTATATCTCACAAACGAAGCGTTTTAAGACCTATGTTTATAGGAACTTTTCTTATTAAAATATGATTCTCTATTAACTGTTATTATTCATTCAATCGTTTTTGTTGATTTTCAGTGCACATCATATTTTTCTTATTAATTCACAAATGTATTAGGTACCAATATCGTTGGAACAGTTTCATGTCAAATGAATTTAACCAGAAACCGTTCATTTTATAAAAAATTGAAAGAGAGCTGTTTTGTTTAGAATTGGTTAAAAAATTTAGAAATTATGTTATTTCCCAGAAAAATCGATGTGCGTACAAATTATTTTTTTAAAGGGGGCAGTAACCCACCTCAGGCACGTCACTGGTGTGTGAAATGGATAACATATCTTTGTTTTATTCACCATAACTAGTGTGTTATTAATACCAAATTTGAATTCAATATATGTTGGTATTTTAGATATTAAGAAAAATTCTTAAAAAAAGTTTATTTTCAACACCCTATATCTTATTACAACCGAAGCGTTCTAAGACCTACGTTTATAGGAACTTTTCTTATTGAAAAATGAATCTCTATCAACTGTTAAAATTCTACCACAAAAAACTGACTCACCCAGTATAAATGTTTAATCAGTTTATTAATATTTCTCATATTTTTATCTCTCCAATTTGAATACTTTCAGGCTGGTACATATATAATAATCAGTCTTTTCCATAGAAAAAGTATAGTGATTTTTCATAAAATTTATAAGTGAGTTTTATAAAATTATTTCAATAGGATAATAATAGGATGATTTATGGACTATTAAACACTTCATACAATATATATTTTATTGAATATGACTTTAAAGCATTATATAACACATTTCTTAATTAGTATCCACAGTATTAGATTTAAATTTTCCTAATCATTATTAATTGACACTTGAAATTAACTACTGAAATATGTATCTGTGGCGGCTGGTGAAAATTAAAATGGTCATATTTTGATCATGAAGGGTGGGACCCATACCCCATACAGTTTTTAGGGGATGATCTCTAATACTCACAAAAATATCTCGTGAATGAAATTTTCAAAATAGCTTTCAAATCTACGTAAATATAAACATATTTTTCACAAACTTTTACTTTTTTGCAATTTTAATTATATATTTTGTAAATTTTACAAATTTTTTTGTCATGAAAATTCTTTGTGACCACTATAAATTACCCCTTAAATAATGATGCTTCATTATCAAAATATAACGATTTAAATTGTCACCAGCCACCACCGATATGTATAGCATTTACCTTTCATTTGGAACTCTCCATTTTCATTAAATTACACAAATTAATATAGCACTATACCAACTAAAAAATACTATATTGCTGGCTGCCCATACACACATTGGCTGTGTTCAGCGAATGGTCGGACCGGTCAAAGTCGTTCAGCGTACAAATATTTTGTTGGTCAGCCCAATCAACTGATTGGAAATATTGGGCAGGTTTTAATATAGTTACTAAAAGCGAATTGTTTGACCAAACTAGTCCGACCATTCCCTGAACACAGCCATTATGACAGTGCCTTCTTTTATATTAGCAAGAATTTTTGTAAAATAGAATTATATGCGCACAATTTTGTTTCATTAATAATCAATATTATGTAAATATTTGTGACAGCATAGTACAAAGAAAAGTATTTGCACTATAGAATTTCTGTAAAATAGAATTATCTCTTCATATAAATTTGTTTTACTAATAATCAATAAAAAGGAAGGTATTTGCACTATTTAGTTGAAAAGTGTAAAATGTTATTATTTAATTTTCCACCATAAAATCAGAATCGGAGGAAATTTAAGAGTCAAAATAATACTGACAAAATTTTTCAGCTATCCGTAATGTTCTTCTAGTCATATTTTCAAAATACATACAGTTTAGCATGACACGAGTGTCCTATAAAATTTATGTCCCAAATATAAAAATATGTTTCATCTAAATTTTGATATATTTTAATCAGCGGCGACTGGTGCGGGGGGCTCTGGGGCGTCGCCCCCGCTGAAAATTTTCATAGTAAAAAAATTTAATTTACAATGTTATCTAGATAATTTAACAGGTTAGCCTTATGAAACACGTTAAAAAGGAAATGTCAAATTTATAATGAGCAGTCAATTTAACTCAACTTGCAAAATTCATTTGAAAAACAATGAATATGTGGGCTCCTCACAGCTCATCCCTAACTCTGTACCGTTTATAGCGGTGGTCATGGTTGTACAGTAGTGAAAGTCGGAGTGGAGTAATGCATATTTACTATGCAGTTAAGGCTCTGTTTAGTCCGCGCGTAACTAAATAATAACTATTCACTGCTTTTTTTTTTTCTTATTAAACAATTTGTTTACGTGTGGTGTAAAGTTTTGTTACCTATGTATTGTTTCTTGTACTTTTTTAAATATTGTAAAACTTTAGATTCTAAATACAGTATAGACTCTATAATCCGAACTAATTAAAACACGGGTTTAAAGAGATAAGTTCGAATTACCGATATTTTCGGATTACTGGATAGTAAACACCGGGTAAGAAAGTACCGATGGTCTATCTGTAGTTACATGAGAGCGATAAAGTAAGCCATAGAAATCCATGTGATAGAGAAGGATGGCTATAATGAAGGCGTCTCATTATCACCGTCCGTTTCGCCCTTCCACAAATAAGATCCACTTCTTATTTGTGGAAGGGCGAAATGGGCGGTGACTATTAGACGCCTTCACTATACCCATCCTTGTCTATCACATGGATTTCTATAGCTTACTTTATCGCTCTCACGTAACTTCAGATAGACCATCGGTACTTTCCTACCCGGTATGTACATATGTAAATGTTTATGTACATACATATAATATGAATTAGATTTTATGTGTTACTGAGAAGGCAAAAAATAACGATAAAACCAAACATTATCGTAAAATATGTTGTATAAATATCGACATGTTTGCATGGCAATAATATTTCAACTAAAAAGATCTAATCGAGAAAGGTTCCGACTGGCATGAAAGGGTTTCCACGAGACTGCCGGGAAGTTACGTTTTCAGCGGTTACTTTTTATTATGTAGTCTCACTTTATAATCCGAACTATATACGTTAATCTGAATTTTGTTCCAATTAGAGTTTTGTTCGGACCATCGAAACGGGCATTCGTCAGATCGTCGGGCCGGATTAGTGAATATTCGGATTAAGGTGAGTTCGGATTAAAGAGTATACTGTACAGACTTACAGCACTTGCAATGCTGTCTATTGAAAAATCAATGATTCGGGAAATACCAAACTTTAATGAAAATTGAAAAATTTATTTTGGACAATGCAAAAGAATTTATAGTGAACTATAAAAATTATGTTGAGCACATTTTACCTGTATTTTAAAACAAAATAAAACTACTGACCCAAGAATTTTTTTTAATACTTTTGTTTTTCGCCCTCTGGTCAAGAGCCGCCACTGATTTTAACAATTTTTTTATTTATATATATTTTTTTTATTTCTAAATAATTTTTCAAAATTGTAATTTTTTTTTTCGAAATTGTAATTTTTCAAAATTATATAGGTAAAAACTGTAAAATAAAAATTTAAGTTGCACTTAACTTTGTACAGTTTTATTTGGAAGAACATAAAAGCATAATATCCACATTTCATAATATATAAAAATGGTATAATAAAATGGCATATTTCATTTCATTATGTTATTGACAATTATATCTTTGAATATGTTAAACTGTTCGATTCAACTTTATATTTATATTTTTGTCAATGGTAAAATGCTGCCTGTATGTTGTAAAAAATAATCGGATTTAAATATTTTCTTGTATATGAGCAGATAATAGTATAACAAGAAAACATCATTTTAAAGTTTTTAAATCTCAAATTTGCAATAAAAACCATTATAATAAGAGAGATCTTAAAAAAGAAAAATACTAATTGTCAAGTGGAACAATATAAAGAGCTTGGGTAAAATACAAAAAAAATTAATGCTCTATACAAGCCACTTTCCATAATAAAGATAGTATTTCCTAGCTGTATTACTCTAGAAAAATATAATTCATATAAAAATAAAATTGGTGTCTTCACTCCAATTTTTAAAATTTTTGTAACTATGTACATAAAACTAATATAAAAAACGACATCCTTAAAATTAGCATATAATTTTTACAAATACCTATGTAAATAGCTGAGAGATGGCTTATGAAATAGAATCGAGTATTTACAAATATGTTATAGAAAACTTTTAATAATGTTTAACATTCATATAATTCACCTTGCAGTTATTAAGAACAGAAAAGTGAAAAACAATCAGTTGTTTTATAATTACAAAATTGAATAAATAATTGAACACTGCAATAAATTTAACATATGTACATCCAGAACTGTCGCCTATGTAGTATAACGTTAAGGGGTAAAGCCACTATAGAATTTTGAAAAAATCGATTTTTGGATAAGTGGTTTAAACAATGCTTTATTATGTAAGAATATAGGAATAAAAGTTTTACGTAGGGGGAAAAATCAGGGACACGAGCTTTTTCGAGGTAGAGTGCTTATTGTAACTCGTAAGAACGCCAGATCGATTTTCAGAGGCGCGGATCCTCCAAATAATCTGAATTTTTATTTTTTATATTTATTGGTACGAATAAAATAACAAAGAACCAGCTATAAATATAAACCCCAAGAGCCCCATACCCCAGAATATTATAAAAGCAAACAGCCCTATACTGAAATTGTAAACTGTAAGCTCAGTTTTCTTGACTGAGATCGTATTTGAGGCGCGGATCGCCCAAATGATCTGATTTTTTTTCTAATTTTTGGTACAAATATAATAACAAAGAATCAGTTATAAAAATAGACCCCAAGAGTCCCATACCCCACAATATTATAAAACCAAATAACCCTGAACTGAAAACTGAAAATTGTAAACTGTAAGCTCTTAGTTTTCTTGATTGCACTGCAACCGCCCCTGGTCTTAGATCAAGCCGAAAAGTGGCCGCAATCATAACTCACAAAGTTTTCAGCATATCGACTTGAAATTTTGTACAAAGCTTCTCAATAACGTAATTCAGGGAACATCGTAGGGGTTTTTCGATTGATTAACAATTTTCATCATCATTAATCAAAAATTGTTCGTCTTTTTTCGATACTTTTTTTTAATGTTCACTAAATCAACAATTTATTAATACTTTTGAATTTTTGTTTTTTTCTTTCAAGACCATTCATTAATAAGAAACACTTCCGGCCATACAGCCCTCTGAAAAAAAGGTGTCGTTGCTTGCCATCACCTACAGCTGCCATTTTGAATCCAGATTCTTAGAGAAAATTGACAATACTACCAGAAAACGTGTACAATAAAGCCTTTTTTCCTTGAAAACTCCCGAAAATCACCTTTTTTTCCAAACTATAGTGTGGCATTACCCCTTAAGTCATGAAAAATACAATAAAAATTTGATATAATTCTGAAGGGAAGTAAACTTTAGTTGAATTTAATTTGTGACGTGCAAAATGTGCAATTTTAAACTTATTACTAAAAGAATCATATACATATTATTTTTCAATACTTCTGTTGAATTAACAAAAATATTAAATTTATAAAAATTGTTTGCCGCATATTTTTCAATTAAATCTCTGAAAGTTGTATTTCAGGATTTTTCGTTTTATTGTAAGCTATTTCTAATGAGCCTACTAACATACTAATGTCGTTCCATCTCTATTTATTGGCTGCATTAAAATAGCTGAAATATACATTTAAGCGGCAGTTAGACTAGGCTGCTTTACCAGCCTCTGGTGGCTGCTAGCTGCTAACAGCACATTATGAACTCCTAGCAGCCGCTGTTCTTACTAGCCCACGAGCAAAATTACCAGCGGCTGGTTGAGTAGCACATGTTCAACTCTATTAGCCGCTAGTTAATCCTTCATGCTGTTAACAGTACTCGAGTTGCCTAATGTGAACCCTCGGACACACACTGCTAGTGGATAGTAGCTGTTAATTGTAGCCACAGGAGACATACTTTTCACCAGTATATTCAACACAAAACTGATTTTTCTCGCTAATAGCAGCAATAATACCACTACTATATAAAACCAATGTGAACCCAAACCAGCGGCTGCTTGCTGTCGATGTTTGCAGCCAGCAGCCACCAGCTACTGGTAAAGTAGCCTAGTTTGACCCCCGCTTTATACTTTTGGCAGCCATTAGTAAGCTCATTCAAAAGGATTGTTTCACAAATAATTCAAATTTTAATAATAACACAAAACATTGAACAATGTTCTCTTATTTTCAAATAAAAGCTAAAAGCTGCCAGATTGGTTTTACTGAAATATTTTGCCAACATTCTGTTTTATTGTAACAGTTTTATTGAATGGCCACTAAATTACTTTGATTTTTGTTTTTAACATTATGGTAGCTGGCAAACACAACTAGGATAATTTAAATAAACACAAATAATTTACACTTCTAGTTAGTTATATCCTATAAATTTTGCAATTTAGATTTTATTTTATAAAATGACACATAATTATAAACTACGTAATAAAATGTAACATGGCAGATGAGGATTTAAAAAAATTTCTCATAAGACTACAAATGTTATATCACAAAAAAAGCAAAACAAAGCAATTCAATCTTTGCAGAAAAATGCTATGATTTGGTAACCTTGGAATATGTTAAAAAGGAAGGTGAATTAATGTGATTCATATGTAAAAAAATAAATGAATACTAAAATGTCCTGTCGATGACAATGTAAAAATTAATATATATGTGCATTTGAATTGTACAAAATCACAACAAAAAACTTGTAAAGCTTGGATAGCAGTGATGTGATAAACAGCGACTCTGGAATAAAAAACAACTGATTAAAGCATGCAGCATTTTTTCTTGTTACTTTTTAGGTAACTTGGTTTAAGGGGTGGTCGCTCTGATAACTGGAATTTTCGAACTACCCGAACTAGTTCATAAAAAGCATTATCTACATTCATCCTCATTTTGGCACTACATTCAATATAGGGTATTTTTAGCTGCCGAGCTAACTGCTGAGCTTCCTCTTGCCAAACAACCCTTTGGTGTTCTAAGTCAACCTATAAATATTTTATATTTAATTTAGCTAGTCATAGAGATATATTTTTGTGTGAAATAAGATTTACTGTACTTTTCATACATCTGAAAATTGTTTTTTTTTTAAATACTTTCAACTTAAAATGGTTAAAATATTTCCATAAAAAATCACTAGAATGCACTAAAATCAAATATAAACTGAATTTTTCAATTTGATTAAATATTTATCAATTGCTTAAAGTATGTTGGACAGAAACATATGCAACTACAACCATAAAATATGTTGAAAGAAGTAAACAGACCTAGTAAACTAACGGTATGTTTACAAAACTGTTAAATTATTTTATGTATCCAATAAATTTAACTCAATTTTATTATATCAGACATTCAATTAAAATCAAAATGTGTAAATGTATCTATCTGCTAGCCTACATATCTTGACCATTTACTTTACATTTTTCAATTTAAAATCTGTAATACATGAAAAAAATTAACGTAAGTATAGGTACATCTCAAAAAAAAAAAAAAATTGAAACCCACAATCAAATTATTATTTCATGTGTCAATACGAATTAAAATTTATGATTGATATATCTTAGACATAACTCTGATAAGAGATATCTGTCTTATTCAAACTAAAAGTACAGTTATTATAAATTGATACAAACAAAAATTAGATATATTAAATAAATTCTTGGTAAAAATAAATAATTGTGTATCAGGCTAAAAATAAATTGGAAAACATCACTTAAATTAAAAAATAAACTAATTAAAAAAAATAACTAAAAAATAAAAATAAAAAACCAATATGTTCAATGATTTACCTTATTCCCAACCATTAGCATTGGAAACTCATCCCGATCTTTTACTCTTAAAATTTGTCTATGAAATTTATATATATCCTCAAAACTAGATCTTTCTGTGACAGAAAAGACTAATAGAAAGCCTTCACCTGACCTCATGTATTGTTCCCTCATAGCACTGAATTCCTCTTGACCAGCAGTATCCAATACTAAAAAAAGTTTTAAATACTTTAATGTAAGCCACTATTTTTTTATGATACTCTTTATACATGATATAATCTAATAATTTCACATCGTAATTATTTATATTAACACTAAATTCACCCAGCAAATTATTTATTATTTATATCTGTCTGTTTGTAAATAACTTAAACATCTTTCATCATAGGTAGTTGAAAAAATGTTTATAAAATCAAAAAGTGGACTTACTATCTAATTTGGCAGGTATATCGTCTATAACACATTGTTTAGTGTAGGAGTCTTCTATCGTAGGATCGTAATCGGTCACGAAATAACTCTAAAATAAAGAAAATTCACTCTTTACCGTGTAGGATAGCTACAAGGTTATGAACTACATTCATCACTCCATATAAAGACATAAGAGATATGCACAATAAACCACCTGATACTACATATTATAATTTGAATGTGTAGACTGCACACTATTTAATATCGCATAATAATAGAAGGGTTGATCAAATATAATTAAAATAAATACCTGTATAAACTGTAAAGTTATAGCTGATTTTCCTACACCACCTCCTCCAACAATAACCAATTTATATGTCTGATAATTGGGTATTCTGTCCCTATCATTAATTTTAGACATGTTTTTCGTGGAAAGTTATATGTGACCTTATTTATCTCCGTTTTAAAAATAGGAAAAACAAATATAGAACACAGAATCTATGTAATCAACTAAACTTGAAGTTACACCTCCTACCTACAACCTACCACACAACACACAACAGTACATACAGATTACAGAATACCTATGCAGAATACAGAACAGAATACAGATAAACAGGATAATTAAAGTACAATTAAAGTTTTAGAGATGATAGTGGCATCACTGATTACTGACATTGAATATTTAAGGATTTTTTCGCGACATAAATTTTGCCATTGCGAGAAGGTGCCTGTCGGTGCGAGAGAGACAGATAATATCTCAGTACTTGCTGTCTCACTCTACCACGCACGCGATTGGTTGGAGCATTAATTTCTAACCAATCGCATGCGTGCTAGAGTGAGACAGCATGTACTGAGAGACCGTTTGTCTCTCTCGCACACTCAGCTATACTTTTCGCAATGGCATGCTACCTTCAGTAGTATATGCTCGAAGGTTGATCTATGTACATCGACCACTATCCGCTGCAGCGGCTCCAAACTCAAAACACAGAGGCCGTGGCGATAGCGGTGAGATCGCTACGGCATGGAGACGTTGCGGTGGTGTCCTGTTACCACCCACCCAGACTACCACTACTTGACAATGACTTAGACAAAATCCTTTCCTGGCCCCAGACAATTGCCATCGGGGACTTCAACGCGAAGTCCCCCATATGGCACAGCGGGACGACGACCACAAGAGGTCGCGTCCTGCTGAATTACCAAGACAGACACGACGACTTGACTATACTCGGACCGACAGAACCGACACATTACGGACCCGTAGGACGCCCCGACGTTATCGACATTGCCCTCTTAAAATCTATACCGTTAAATGCCCAAATATCCACCCAATACGAAGGGTCTTCCGCCCACAATCCAATATTTCTGGATCTGGGGCGAAGACAGAGATATGAAGGCACCTTCACGAGGAGGTTCACTGACTGGGAGCGTTTCCGAACAGTAATGCAAGGAAACATGGCGCTCCCAGTCATCGAAACCACCCATGATCTGGAGGCGGCAATCCTCTCCCTTGAGACTGACATTAAAAACGCCCTGACTCAGACTACGACGGAGACTATTGTCCCCCGACTGACAAACCCCCGGGGCACCCTCCCCGATGACATAAAAAACTTAATACGTGACAGACGACGTGCG